AGACAGAAAGCGAGAAATCACCCCCCCAGGGGGGATGGTCACGCCGCAATCCCTTCTCCTCCATTCTCCTCTCGGGATCTTGGGCACGCACGCACACGTGCCCGGCGTGAGTTTTAAGCCACCGGGTCTGGGACACGAACCGCGGTCGACTACATGGGAATCCAGCGACATAGCCATTACGCTAACTGCTGGTTCCCAATATTGATTTATAGTTTTTGTACCCCCTTGGTATTTTTATTTCCTAATTTTCATTCTTTTTCATTCACTCTGGAGCTTAATAGAAGTCACAGGAAAAGAAATTATAAAAAAGTGAAGGGAAGACAGTCTCAAATAATACAAGAAAATTTCCCAGAGCTGAAGGAAAGCAGAGGTCTTAAATAGAAGGAACCCATTAAATTCCAAAGGCTGAGACCTAGATACATTGATTTTTTTAAGAACTCTTAAAATTTTATTATTTTATTTAACTTTAGTTTTATTTTCTTACTTATTTTAATTTGATCAGAGAGAGAGGGAAAGTGAGAAAGCAAGCCACGAAGTCCAGGACTCGAATGATGCCAGGGACCAGCCTCAGCGGGGGTGGGTTGACTTGATGGAGGCAACGCTGGAAAGAAAGGAAGACTAAGATCTCAGTGCCTTTTCATGCACGTCCTCAGCCGGACACTCCCAGAGATTGCTCTCTGAGGAGTGACAACTGTTAGGAATCATCGTGCCTTTTTATTGAAAATGTGATACGTGCAAGTAAATGGGAGAGGGGCTACGTGTTCTAATGATCAATTCATAAAGTTTTAACAATAGAAACCATTCAGGGTTTGATTAAGGGCAGGTCTATTAATCATCGATACAGTTCAACAATTGTTTGATTGATGAAAGCAGGTTCCCGGTAACTTCAAGCAGTGCAATTTTAGGAAACATTTCCAGCAAGCAGAGTTAACTATCAGCTGATGTTCAGCAGCAGCCATCTTATGATTACTAAAAGAAAATCTCAAGCATAGATATTAGTTCTTATGGATTTTCATAAAGAACGATACTTATATAATTCTATTGGGATCTAAAACCTAAGAAATCCTGTTACATTTACCTATCTTGAAGGGGTGAAGTTATTATTCACTTGGTGAGGGCGGGGACAGTTTTTTCAACTGGCGATAAAGCGACTAATAAGTTAATGAAAAACTTTAAAATGGGTTTGTGGTGTTGTGGATACACTTGTGTAGCCTATGGCACCACTATTATGTATTTTGTTAGAACATTAGTTACCATGGGACGAGAGCGTCCTGGGCCAGTTTTGGCCTAGTCCTATTGTACGTGAAAAGGTTATTTATATTAAATGTGTCTTGAAGCGCCTTCCAAAGATCAAGAAGAACTTAGCACACCCTCTATTGTGCCCAATGAAGTGCTGTAATTAACAGTAAGTGGTCAGGGTAAAGGGGAGCGGTCGGGGGGG